ACTATGTACAGAGTGATGTTTTCCTAATGTCAGAGAGGCAAGAGGAAGGAGAGCAGCACTGTAACGATTGTCACAGGGGAAACAAACCCAAATGAGGACTGGGATATAGAACTTGCTACTCCCAGCCCATCCTTTAGACCCAACTCCACTGCTTKAGCAGTCAAAACATCTGACTACACCTGTTTTGACAGAAAACATGCTGGCAAAGCACAAAGCTCACAGTGCATCAGCTTCCAGCAAACAAGAGCAATGTGGGAGCGAGCATTTGCTRGTATAGGCTCTGTTCTGATAAAGGTTGGCAGAATCCTTCAAAGATAATCAGYTTCACAAAATACAGCTGCAAAGATGGAGCTGTATTACAAAGATGTAGAATTAAGGGCTGAAAAACAGGTAAAAGCATTTCTTATGCTGAATTTCTGCCCTTACCCCTCTCCTACCAAGTGAATATAATTAAGGCAATCTCAAGTAACAGAGGATACAAGAGAAGGTAAAAAAAACTCCAAATGCTTATTTTAGTTACCCAGAGSAACAAGGAGGAACAAGAATAAACAGCCTTTTTTTTTTGCTTTTTATCCTAACACAATTTTAAGGACAAAAAGCAGCTCTAAGAGCATTTSCCATTAAAAGTAGCAAAGGGGGAAGTTGTAATTTTTGAAAGCATGTGAAGTAATCTCCAATCTACTACAGCCACGTATAACTAGCTGCAAAACTGTATTTACCTAGACAGATAAATAATGAGTTTTCATTCCTACGTAGTTCTGTAAATCAGTAATAAATCTTATCTGAAGAGTGCTTGAAGACCTTACCTACTCAGATGCTAACCAGTAGAGCAGTAATTATGCTTTATTTCTGTATAAGRCATAATGCTCTCTGCTGAAATAGTCGAATATCACATTTTAAAAGCAAAATCTTGCCTAYCCATCATCACCAGCTCCAACCGACTACACTAGGCAGATTAAAACAACTAAGAGCACACTAGAGAGGGTCACAACTGTGTRGTTTGTAATCAAACTTTTGCTGATGATCACTGTAAGTCTTTCTCTTTGAGCAGTGCTCAGCCAATCTATACATGATTCACACCTCACTGCAGCCTCAGTGCATGGCAATATCAGTACTTCACTTTTACAGCATCAAGAGAATCAACTCTGCTGCCTGTGGAACCTTTCCTTTTCCAGGGAAGGTTTTSTGTTCAGTATTTGCCTTTTCTCTAGAAGCCCAACATKGTTGTTGGGAAATAACATCCCAGAAGTGTTTTATAAAAGATGATTTGGCAGCTGTTGACCAAATCTCTGAAAGCTCCAGGTAACAAATATCAAGCACCTTGTTCTTAGCATTAAAGATAACCTCCTCCAGATAAGCTTTGTGCTGCTCCAGCTGCTGTGGGCTGCCACTCACCTACCTGGGACAGGAGGGAAGGCGGAGTGGTTTGTTCACAAACGCAGGTGACCGACCCCCTCTAGTGGCACCAGGACTGGGGCAGACRGCTCGGCTCGACAGCGACAACGCGGCAATCACAGGATGAGCTCAGTGATCGCTAAGGGATGACCAGCACAACAGCTAAAGTACCAAACGCACTTTAATGAGTTCCAGATTTTGTTCCCAGAAGGAATTGATACCGTGTCAGTACATTAGGCAGGTACATAATTTCTCCTGAACTACAGGCATGAGGAGAACCGACTATGACATATTAGGTATCTAAGGTTACTCTTAGAAACCAGTTTTCCATATTATTAGAAATAAGGCAGGTTTCAGGCGTGCAGGTAGCTGATTTATCCAGTGCTCAGATGCCATATTTGCCCTTTAGTTCCTCCACTTTTGCTATGTAAGCTTTCATTGCATCTTCTTTGGACATTCCTGAAGGACAGAATACAGGAAGCAGTCAGATACTTTTTACAGATTAAGATGCCTTTTACAAGTCACAATTCCTTGCTACAGCCTGTGGTAGCACGAGAGCAAAGAAGCCAGGACAGTCACAAATCCACTACTAATCCACATTTTTAAAAAATGTGTTCCATCAGTCATGAAAAAACAGTGATTGAAAGCAAAATTGTTTTTGCAACTAAAGCAACTTGTTTGCAAGACACCAACTAAACAGTGTATTAGTTCTATTAATGCCACTGACAATTATTACAGGAAAGCTATTCCTCAAAACAGCAGGAAAAAARAGTCCCATTGTCATAGATTAGACCATTTGTTTGGCTCCTCACTTAGAGCTGTGAGCTCAGTTGTTTCTTCCCAAGCTTTCCTAACTATAAGAYGCATAACAGCTGGAGGGAGATCTCAGTTTTGAGGATTAGGCTCGGACCARGAAAACAAATTTATGTTTATGTTCTTCTTTGTTTAATATCTTAGGTCACCTGGGTATTTTGCAACCTAATTCCCTTTGATACMGGCCAACTTTTTCAGGATTACTTCTGCCTTGCTGAGGTAATTAGAAGTTTATTATTAAGGCATTCTGAACTTCTAGAACTCTTATATTAAAAGGAAACACTATTCTGTTTCTTGCTAAACTACATATGCCTTTCTGATTAGTCTGCCAGTGGTAATTTTATCCATTTCTTTAATCAGACATTTACCTTTCAATGCACTCCAGGCATCCCACTTTGCTTTGCCTTTGAAGTCCAGCATACCAGGGCGCTCTGAGAGAGACAGGATAAGCAGCAGGATTAGCTTGTGTGATCTGGGTGTAGCTAATACCYACCTGAAGGCTTAGTTAGCTCTTAACAAAATACAAACGCTCATCTCTGCAGCTGTTACTTGCTAACCTGCAGCCAGCAGATCACCTCAGGGGAATTTGTTACAACATTGCTGGTGACAACAGAACTCTTTCAAATTCCCGCGAGACAGCAGAAGAGCACCAACTATTGTGACCTGGTTTAATTGTACTTTCTGAAGAGCCTTAYGTGTTGGGTACCACATAAGAGGTATCCAATTAAAGAAGAGCAGTTCTGAAGTACAGCAGAATTACCCTAAGGTCCATTACAAGCAGAGGCATGAAAACAGACAGCTGTTTGTAGTAACATACAGCTTGGAACTCATGATCATCAAGTTAGGGGTGTGTTTCTAACCTATAGCTCTGCATTTGTTCCATCATCCAGCGATAAAACCTTAGAAATCTAACACACTTCACTGCAGGCTGTGGTGTGGCCAAGTAGGTGAATGATGTGCATATAGTTATTCTTTGTGTAAAGTCCCCTTTTGTGGTTTTACTTCCTCTCTCCCCTTAAAGACAATTCTTAGAACTCACAAATGGAACTGGGCTGTTTCCACAGCAACACCCTTGTGCAGCTCCCGTGGCACAGTGACCCGCAGCTCCAGTTGGCAGCTCCACTTCTCTCCAGCACCAACCCTCCCTCAGGCTGCTTCTCTGGCCAACTCAGGTTGGCAGCTGCCTCACAGCAGCGCAGACACTCGCAGGAATGGTGGCACGTTCACAGCTCTGGAGCTCCATTTCACCCTGTCCAGCTCTAATAATGCTGAGGTCCAGCCACACCAAAAGGATCGTATTTTAAACCCAAAGTCACGTTTTTTGCCCTCACGCTGCCCACTTTGGGACAAGGAGATTGAATTACTTACCATTTCCTCTACACTTCGCTGCCAGCTTTTAAATCAATGGGCACTCAATAAACTTTGCCARCTCCTGGGTTAGGAGGCCAGCACTCCAGAGAAATGACCTTTTCCCTTTCTAATTCTAGCTACTCCAGTGTTACACAAGGTCGATAGAGACAGGCTTCACTCTAAATGTTATTCCAAAGGCTAAGCTGCACGGACAGCAATGTAGCAAGAGAAGTAGCCAGAAACATTTTACACAGTGTACTCGTAGATGTAATTTTGGTACAGTCTTTCTGAAGTATGATATTTAATCGCAGCTCCTATAAAAGTTTGCTCCCKTTCTTCTGGTTTTGCTTTGCAACACTATTTTTAGCAGCCAACCAAGTCTGACTACACTTTGTCATCCTCTCCAGTATTGCAACTCCACACTTGTATTGTTTGTCTTGCTGTTAAAATCTGTATAACTGAGAAGTGTTTGCATTAAAGTAGCACCCCGTGGCCTGAGCAGCTGCTTACTGACAGAGGTCTCCAAAAACACCAATCCCAATATTTGCACTAAGCTAACACAAAGCATCCTCAGGCCCTCACTGCACGGCGGCAGCCGGGTTAATCTAAAAACCACGAATTGCACAAAGCCTTATCGGGTCAGCCTGTGCCCTCCCGCACACAAATCCGTGCCAAGTCGGCACTGAGTCACTTTCGCTGAGCCGCGGGATTGCGGGAAGGGCAACGGGGAAGAGGTTTTGCCACCCGAAGCATCTCCAGCGCCGCCGGCGTGAGGAGCGGGGCCGGTACCTACCCGTGTTCACATCGCCCACCGTGGCCTGTTTGTAGTGGCTGTAGATGTCGAGCATCTCCTGGTCCGTGGGCTGCGACTTCAGCTGCTTCACCTCCTCRGCGGCTTTCTGGAACGCGGCCTGGGGGGAAGGCGGCAGCGGGTGAGCGAGGGGAAGGTACCCGGAGCCCCCCAGCTCCCCCCGGCTCCCCGCAGCCCCGGCGCCCCCCGCACCTCGGTCATCGTGACGAGCCCAGCACGATCCCGATCCCGATCCCGACCCCGCCGCTTCTGCCGCACCGCCCCCGCCGCTCACCCGCCTCACCCCTCGCCAGACCGGCCGCTGGCCAATCACAGCGCAGCGGGGCCCGCAGCATCCAATCAGCGCGGGCCGGGGGCGGGGCAAGTCGGGCAGGGAGCCAATGCGGAGGCGGCGCGGGCACCTCCCATTCATCAGGGAGTGAGGGGATCTTGGCCATCAGCGGCGCGAGGGGGGCGGGGCGGGAGGGGGCGGGGCAAAGCCTCCTGCAGCCAATCGGGTGTTTCAAAGGTGGCACCGAAAGGACGCGATTGGCGGGGCGGGAGGGGGCGGACCCGGAAGTGGCGGCGGGAAGCGGTAACGGGCCCGGTGAGGCGAATGGCGGGTGAGGGTGGGGGCTCTGCCGGGGCGGGCGGCGCTCCCCGGGCACACTGCTGCTGCGGGCCCAGGGAGGTTCCTCTCTGCAAGAGGAGTGGGCCTCCAGCGCCTCTCATCTTCCTTCTTGTCCCCGTGGAGGCGCGGGGTTTCCAGYCCTACATGCGGTCWGTCTGAATAGTAAACGTGAAAAYATGTTTCCAGCCCTACATGCGGTCRGTMTGAATAGTAAAYGTGAAAATCGGCGATTTCTGATTGTGCTTCCAGTTCTGTGTTCCTACAGTGTTTTTCCATGCTGCTGAGGAGCAAGTGAATTGAGTGCTGTACTCTTTACCTCATCCTCCAGGTCGCCAGCCCATGTGGAATAGCACCAAGAAAACACCCATCTTTGCTGTTTAGTATAACTCGAGTCATTTTCAGGTGCAAAGTATASTTTTCTGATTGGTATGTATTAGTTGTGTGTTGTGTGATACAGCTCATTTACATTTACAGCTCATTCATGGAGTTGAAACTCAGGGAATTATTAACCAAGGGAGTGTAAAAGCACATTGCCTTTGTGATGGGGAAAATCTTTGGCCCTGTTCTGCACACAGTACTTGATGAAAATATTGGTAGTTTGCTTTGCCAGGATACGGCTGGCACAAATATAGCAAAAGTTGGGATGTACCTGCTTGATGGTGGGGCACTAAAAACCCCACAGGAAAAAAAAAAAAAAAACAAAACAAAAAAAAACCAGCAACAACAAAAATCACAAAAACCAAACACCGCCCTCCCCAACCAAAAAAAAAAAAGAATATAAAAGAATAATAGGTAAGGGAATCCCTCTCAGGGCTGGAGGTGATGACTGAAATGGCTGCTCAGGGATGGGAGGTGCAGAGGTCGATGTCACAGCACATTTGCTGCAGTCCTTGCTCGTTGTTGCAGCAGCCACGTCAGTTTWGTGTGTGGCCAGGAAGCTGAGGGATGCCCAGTACCAAAAATAGAGAAGTTTGTCAAGGTAGAAAAGAGCTTATTTTTCTGTGGAAAAAAAAAAACAAACCAACCAAAACCAATGGAACAACATGTGGGCTTGTTTGAAAAGGGATTTGGGTTGACAAGGCCTCTCTGTTGTAGGCTCTGCTCTCTCTTGAAGTAGTATAAGCCCATAGAGCCATTCTAGAGACCTACTATTATAAATTAAATCCCTTAATTATGCAKTAATGTATCAGGAAAATTATTTGCYTGTGTATGTGGGGGYGGTTTTTCATTTCCCTGGGGAGGTGAAAATGAGCATTGTGCAACAGCTTAGGCATTTTTCAGGGTATTACTCTCTGTACAACAGAAGTATGTTAAAAAGGCTTGGAGTTTGTTTGTATTAGTCCATTCTTCTGGAGTACAAGGTAAAGTCTTCAGCCACTTAAAACCCCAACAACACCCTTTAATTTATCCATAGCACTTTTGCACGTTTAGCAGGGATTCTGGTGTGGCATTGCACAGCACAGATACTGGAGTATGTGGTGTGCAGTATCAATAATGCYCCTTTCATTGTGAGACCCCGTTGCTGCTCCAGTAGGAATCATAAAAGTGAAATCCTGAAAGGCAGAGGAAAGGCAATAATTCCCCTCTTTAATGTTTCCCAGGTTATCCAGAATTAATTCTCATGTCAGCAGAAGGCTCGACCGTCACMGTCCGCCTCGTCCGCTCTTTTGAGCACCGGAATTTCAGACCTGTGGTGTACCATGGAGTTCCCCTGGATCAGACAGTGAAGGAGTTCATTGCTTTCGTGAGGAAGGGTGAGATGTGGTTRTCTCATTCACTCGCTTCAGTCCCGAGTGTTGCTGTCCCTGCAAGAAAGTGGAGGGGAACAAATGAATGGGAATTCTGTGGCTTTGATAGAGATTCCAAATTTGTGTTTACATCCCCTGTGTGCTTTTCTTCCTTGAATGAAAGGTCTGGAGTTAATAAGAGCTTCCATGGTTGGTTAAATTATTATACCTACAGGCTAATTTAATGGGAAAAAGAAGTTTTTTTCTCCCTTTCCAAAGAGAGAAATGCACAAAAAAAGGGTATATCAAGCTTCATTACTTTCCTAGCATTTGAAGGTATTAGAAATGCAGTCACTTAATTTACTCAATGCTTATACAAACAATTCAGAAGACTGTGTTAAACAAATTTTGAGGGTTCTTGTGTGTCTATTTACTTCTATATATTCKTGTGCCATGCCTAAATTTGGATGGACTGCTCCCCCTGCCCAAATCCCCACGTTTAGTCTAAAAGAAACAAGGCCATTGCTGCATTTGGCTCAGTGCCCCAGGCTCCTTGAGTGGTGCTGTCAGGYAAATAYTTATAAACTAATAKGAATTAATTAATAAAATTAATAARTAAGGAATGAATTAATGGAAGTTAGGAAGTCTTTGATCCTAACTACACAAATATGTGGAATGTAGGAATATGAGTCTGTTTGCTGTTTGTGAGAAGAAAGAATCTTGAAAATTTGTTTTTGACACTGTGTGGTCTCACTGTGCGTGTTTGTTTCCCAGTTTGTGTCTCCATCCCGAGCTTTGTGGTGCAGATTTACTCACCTGTGGGCTCTCTGCTCTAGAAGCCTGGTTGAAAATGACAGTGAGTCTAAAGTATTGCAGACATGCCCACACAGTGACTTACTAATTAGGGTGTTACCCTTAATCTTGCAGGTGTATTTCCACACATCTAAATGGAGACATTCAAAGGGTACAGAATAACATAATTTTTTTTTTGGCATGAAGTCACCTTAAACAAGTCTTGAGTTGTTAAAGATGATATCATTTCTGCAACTCCTAGGACATTGCCCTGTAACTCATGGGCGTATTGTGTTTAGCAACTTTCATACTTCTAGACAGTGATAGGCATGGCAAGATCTTAGGATGCTTTTAGAAAACTGCAAGCACTTTCAGAACRTGTGGCACAGCTGCTGYTRWGAAGAAGAAAAYAGAAAACAATGCTARGAAASTTGCTTTTGATRTTTGCAGTATTGCAACTYGCTGTTATTTGAGACAAAGCCAATGTCTTGAACAAGACTCTTTAGAACCTCATTCCACAGTGTGCTCAAGGGCCCTGTTTCTTCCCTTACTGTTATCTGTTTTGAAAGGGGCAGTTTGAGATAAATTGGTAAACTATTGAAGAAATKATGGTTTCAGCCACCTTGCTGCTGGGCACTCCACAGCTGGCTGGGCCTTCTGAGGTTAAGTCACAGGGAACACTGGCACCAGGGAAGGTGTCAATATTTTTGCAGTTACTGATGGGCTGTGTCCTGCATGCAGCCAAAGAGTYAATTTTCTGCAGCTTGGCTTCCTTTTTGTGGCTGGTTCTCATGGCTGTGTTGACTGAACAATTCATTATGAATGACAGTTGTCACCTGTTTGTATAAGGTAAAGAGCAATGCTGGGCAAACCATTAAAAGGATGTTCCTGGTAGATTTCTGAAGGATCAGGATCCCATGATCATACCCTAATTKCACTGACTCACTGTCCTCATGGGGTGTTTTGTTCAGAGGGACTTCCTGCTCAAATGAAGTTATTCTCACTATAGAATCTAAGCCAGAGGTTGTGTTTTTGCATTTGATGCTCAAACAACTCTCCTATGTTGCAGATTTATTTTGATGTAGAGGCTGCCCAGGGGATGCATACATTGCACAATAATGGAAAWTTAAATATTGGAAATAATTAAAAAAGAGAACTTTGTTTTAACTTTGTGCTTTTATTTTAATAGATGTGTCTTCAAGAACAGGACTTCCTCCTCCTTTTAAAAATTACAAGTATGGTAGGTGTTTTTTATTTTTCTTGTTGTAATTACTGTCAAATGCCCACATAATATTTTACACCAGCATTTGTACAACTTAAAAGGTAACTGCTGTACAATACTAATGTTGGTGCCAGTGCCTGCCCTACATTTGCAACTCTGTCCAACTCTTGAGGCTGGGGTTATGCCACTGGSATCTTGTCTGCAGAACTTGACCATTATTTTGAAAATTKGTTTTAATCTTTGAATTAGGCWGCATGGTTTACATTATTTGCTRCTGGTACTGATGGGTTTTGGTATTAATTTTTGATGATTTATGTAAGTGCCTTTTAACTTTGTCCTTACCCTAATGAGCAGCTTGTGATCTCAAAACACTTTGAAATTGTAGTTCTTATATGTTTATGTACTTCAGTATCTATTTACTGATGGTGAAGGGGAAGGTGAAGGCAAGAAGTAGAAAATGGTWGAGACTTACATATTTAAATAGTTCACACAATGTAAGAGAAGCAGGGGAGCTTTGCTCCAAGTAGATGTGAAAGCTCTTCAATACAAGCTGGTGATATGAAATAGCCTGATATGAAGTTTAAKCTGACTTTGTCCTCTAATGTAAAACTATGTTTACTTCCTTTTTGTGAAGATTGGCATGAACATGTGCAATTCATCTGTTTGGGGCAGAGTAATCTTTAAAAATAGCCTAYATTACTTCCTTTCTTAGAGTTTGTACACTTGGGTATCAGTCACATATCTTTTCCTAAACTTGGCAAGTCTCAAAGCTCCCTTGGAGTTTTGCTGCAAGTGATCCTCTCTGTCCCATGTTCTTGGAGCTGACAAACTCCTTCCTCTGCGGTGATTAAAAGAACTAAATGCAAAGCCTACTTAATACATGTGAATGGTAATAAACTCTGTCTGCCTATTTAAACAAAAAAGCCAAGGATTTCATTTGATGAAACAGTGCAAAGTGAAGCTAGAAAAAGAGCTAGGGATTAAGGCTGATGATACATCAGTGGCAAAGATTTGAATGTTACTATTATTTTTAATATGTTACTTAAGGTTTTAACAGCTAGGGAACTATAAGTTTGAATTTGGGGCTGCCTTTCACCTTGCCTGTGGCTTTGTGTGGGTGAGGTGGTCCTGTCTAAGACACAGTTGTGTCCCTGATGTTGCCTATCCCTGCTGCTGGTKCTTTCATTGCTTTGAGATCAGTTTAGGTTTTCCCAAGCCATATGTGGTGGCCGAGGGTCTGATTGTGGCATGTAGGGTTGAGCCAAACTTCAAAACCTGTTGCACCAGTTAGTGGGGGCCTGCTTTTGCTGTGATGGTGCTGAGGGAGGGTTTTCACATAGGAAAATCAAAGCCAAATTCCTCACCCTCCCCTCTGGCTGTGAATCATCCAAGTTCATGTTTATGGCATCTCTGCTGTCTCYACAGTGCTCTACAGTCTTTCTCACRTTTTTGTGAGGAAAAGRGCARTGAGACTTCTGCATGAATAGTGCCAGTAAGAGTCAGAATTTTTCCCCATTTTGTTTGGCAGTGCCAGAAATCTCGGTTGGATCTGTCTCTTACTTTGCCTGTTGCAGCTTCCTTTCCTGAAGAATTCAGCACCACTTTGTTCTCTTAACCTCTTAACATCATATACAATGCCATCACGTTTTTCCTGTTGGATTAGTGCTCCAATTCACATCTCAAAGCTTCTGCCTTTCATTTTCTCTTCTTTTCTTTGTATGGATCATTCTCATTCTTGGTCTAGAACTCTTCTCAATCCAATCTTCCTACCCTGTCATTGCCATCTTTTTGCTGGTGTTGGCAGCCTGGGTGCCAACTTGTTCCATAAGCTCCTTCTCAATTTGATTTCTTTTTTCCATAAATGTGGGGCAATGTGGTAGGTAGTTCATAAAATCACTTGAAAGTGGTATCTTATCAATTGCCATGATAGACCTATTATCAGAAAAGGCAAGATTAGCAGTTGGCAATAGGAAGGAAATAGTAAAGTCTGGTGAGAGGACAGCTTGTGAGAGGAGACAGTAGTTTCTTCTCTGTAACAGAGGTAGGGAAGCCATTTAATAGCTCAGATGAAGATATGGTGAACTTCTGGGTGCCAGTGGTGGAGTTCTGAGCAAGTTCAATTGACACAAAAGTCCAGGGCACGACTGGACMAAGACCAAAGAAAAGGGAACCTGTCAGAGTTAGACAGAGGAGCTTAAAACTGACAGGCACAGGTTGGGTTTATTTGCTGTAACAGAAAGTTTTCATGATTGCAATATATTTTTATGTGATTGCTTGGTCTTTTTGCGATGTTTCTATGCAAGGTGGATCCTGATAATTGCAATTGAATGTCTCTCTTGCTTCTAATACCACAGTTATTGCAACATACCAGGGCTGCCTTCTCAGTGGCCTCTGCAGGGAGAATGCAGAACAGTTTTGACCTTATGTGATGTTTTAAAGAGTGTTCAAAATACRCCAGAATGGTATGGAAGCAGGAAGCAAACTTCTGAGTAGGACTCTGATCTCTGTTATTCTGAAYGTCTGGATACTTGCTCCTGGTAGTTTGAAAGTTGGTTTAGCCAATGTTTAACTTTGCTGCATCCTTCTCTTACCAGAGTATTTCGACATGCAGCATTCACTCAATGCATTAAAACTACAACAGAAACTAAATTACAACAGAAAATGAGCARACAAGCAGAACTGGTTTTTCTTCTTTGCTGGGAAGGGATTGATGTGTTACTCCAAATTTGTTTAAGCTCCGAGTCTTTAGAGTTCAATCTATTTTTTTTTTAGTGTTGCATGGCTTTAAGCCAGTCCCTCTGGATCTTTGCACTCATCCAGTTGCTTTAGTGACCATGGTATTTTCCTCTGTTTTTCCCTTCTGTTGGCAAAGCCCTGCCCACATTGCCAGAAGGAAGTGGTATATTTTTTTTTTTTACTTTCGAAAAGCACTACACTGCACAAACATATGATAAAAATTATTGAAGAGGCTATAGAATTAAAAAGAGAAGAGGCTACACATGTTCATGGAAAATTAACTTGCTTAACAAAATTCCTGCCGTGGTTGGTGAGTGCCTTATTCATGTGAAGGAAAATTTCAAGGAGTGATCTGAAGTGATCAGGTTACTGTGTCTTAATCACTTGCTGCCTATCAGCTTAGCTGTGATAGTTGACAGTGCATAAATGCTGTTGGTCCTGCCCCAATTGCATGGTGTAAAACCTATTAGGTTAAAACACCCTAAGTGGCATTTAAATTGATGTGTTTTGACTGGCAATTGAGATGGTCATTAGTTGGTTATTGTAATTCAGCCCGCAGACAGAAGCCCAATAGGATGTGGTACCTTAATGTTGCATTCACTGCTTTAAGGCTGTGGCCAGCAGGACTGTGAGATTAAGATGTTTTCTCCTCTTTCAGGTTGAATACACAAAATTGTTAATAACAAAAGATTTTGAAGCTTCCCCCTTTGTTTGTTTGTCTTTCCACAAGTACAACTTTCAGTGTTATCTGCTTATTAAGCCTTATTTTAGGGAAAACACTATTTTCTTTCAGATACAATGAAGATTATTCACCAAGCACACAAATCTAAGGTAAGATTATTAGCTGTGTTGTTCCCCTTTTGCATGCTTTGAGGCAGGCAGATCTCTGCACTGTCAAACAAGACTRGGGCAGAAGCAATCAGTAAATTCTTCTTATCTTTGTATTCTGGTTCTCTGATTTGTAGACTGGGGAGCTTGTAGTGAGTTTGGAAGATGATGACAAACTGATTTTGAAGGAAGACAGCACGCTGAAAGCAGCTGGAGTAGGTAGGAGCACATTTGTATTGACTGAAGATGCTGTTCCTTGTGGTAGCATTAAACTGATAACTGGCTGATTATGTTTGGACAGGCTGCTGAAAAGTAAATGCTATTCCTGATGCTCTTTACAGGACTTGGTAATTATTCAGAGAAGCATTATTCAAATCATTGGTCTGAGGGCAGCAGGTATCTGCACTCCAAATGTTCAGAATGCAAATTGTGATTTTTAGAGGGTATGCTTATAATTCTGCTGAGAGTAATTTTAAATGATTGACAGATAGGTTATTAGTACCGTGTCTGCTTAGTCTTATCAGTAACATTTAAACTGATGTTTTGGTTAGAAATGTAAGTAGTGGAACCAGCATGGAATAATGAAATAAGATTAGATTTGTTTAATGTGCAGCATACAGTGTTTGATAGCCAGATTGCTYAGGAAAGCTCGAGCAGTATCATTTAGAGAATGTGCTGAACATAGCAAAGAGTTGAAACTTGACCTGATTTCTCACATTTTGACAGGAGACTACATATAGGGCATGTCTTTTGGTAATAATGTAAAGAAATGTCTGTCATGATAAAATTGATGGTCCCTGGATGTCCTTTGGGCTTCTCATAARTGTGGCTGAATGACTTTGTGGCAGCAGGGCACTTAAGGGATGTAGTTGCATTCCACCTTGATCTGGACGTTTGCTCATTTGAACCTGATTTGCCTGGCTGGAAAGCATTAACTGCCTGTGCTCTAAGTGCAGGGGCTTCACAGAGGAGGCTCCCTCCTCTTCCTGGTGCTCCCTGATTGCTCCCCAGCTACTGAATGGGATTTCTTTCCCATCAGTTACTTGGCTCTTCTGTTCCCTGCGATTTATTTTCTGGTTTTAAGTGACTTGGGATGTCTCTTCAATGTTTTTCTCTGGAGTGAGCTGCAACTGGTCTCAATACACCATTCCTAAAGGTCTTTGAGTGTTCCTATAATATGAATCATAGATTTTACTACAACCAGGTCTTTTTGTCTGCAGGGRGAAAGAAAAAGAGAGGATTACTGGCACCCAAGCCTCATAGATTTGTAATTTAGTTAGCAGAAAGTTCATTTAAGCATGATTTTTATCCGTGTAAGGCATAAGAGGCAGTATAGTTCAGGAGGGGGACTGATGACAGTGCCAAATGTTGAATTAGAAACAACAAAGCTGTCTTCTTTCAAAAAAGGTATGGATAAATATTTGTATTTATTATCCACCTTTGAAACTAGGTTTGTAGCTACAGCAGTGAAACACTTGGATGTGATCTAAAAAAGGTGTTAAAACATCAGACTAAATGTTACAGTGAAAGGGGATAGGAATACAGCAGCCTGTTCTGTGTCTCTGTACAAAGGGAAAGGTGGTTCATTTAGGACAGAAAATGATTTAAAGCTACTTTTTTTTTTTTTTTTTTTCTGAATTCTGAATAACAGCAGTTATTAGTATATAGAGGATGTTTGTGGTAGAGAAGGAAAACCCTTTCTTGGAAAATGCAATGTGACATTGTGCCATTTTGAATTTGGATATGTTCCTGTGTATCTTGATGTGAAAATGATCTAAGTTAGGAGTGGGGTCTTTGTAGTAAAATCTTGAAGATTTTACTTTTCTTCTTCAACAAGAAGTGGACAAGAGCAAGCCAAGGGAGTGAAGTATGACAGCAGGTATCATGTACCACATGGTACCTCATTTGGTACAAAATGATAATTTTGTACATTTTCTTTAAATCACTAAGAACATTTGAAATCTCCTATTGACTTATTAAGTTTTTCCAACATCTAGTCTGGACAAGATTTGTTAGAATAAAACAGAGAATCACCRTTAGAAAATCTGGGAAATTCTGACACATGCAGAACATTTTTTCTAAGTGGCAGTTGATTGCCCTTGGCACCATATAGGGCTAGAGAGTTATAAATTATGAGGACATTAGATRAGTATCCTCAGGAAAGCCTCTGTAGTAGTGATTATTAGTACAGTTATTATCCAGTCAGCAAAGTTAATGCTTGCATTTTTTTTTAAATTGAGTGTATGTTAATAAAGTGTTCAGTATTCATTACAAACAGTCTTGTCTGTTTTCTAGTTGAGATTCTAAAATCCCCTCTACTCTTTTTTTTTTTTCCTTTTTTTTTTTTTTTACAAGACAGGCAGACTTCATTGACTTAAGGTTTAATTTAAAAAATGAGTGTGGAACTTATTGGCTCAGCACCTTAAAGAATTCCATGTTTAATAATTGTGAAGGCTTTCCATCAGATTTGTCTCTGTTCTGAATTAGTAATGTTGCTGACTTATTGTTTTAGAAGAGGAAGTCCTTGACCTACTGGGTTGAAAGAATTGTGACTGTTCTGAACCTTTGTGGGTCCTTTAGCTCTGCCAAATCCCCTGTGAATAATTAGAGGTATTTGAAGGTATTGCTGGAGAAGCCAATTTGTGTCTTTCACTTTGCATATTGTTGAAGCCTCATGAATTAATCATCAGCAGGGCAAAAAATTAACTTCTTCAGACACATATTTTGATGGGTCATGAGGGAGAATGTAAAGTGATCTGTAAAATATTCTACTGATCCTCTAAGTATTAAATTATTATACCTACAGGCTAATTTAATGGGAAAAAGAAGTTTCTTTCTCCCTTTCCTAAGAGAAAAATGCACAAAAAAGGGTATATCAAGCTTCATTACTTTCCTAGYATTTGAAGGTATTARAAATGCAGTCACTTAATTTGCTCAATGCTTATACAAACAATTCAGAAGACTGTGTTAAACAAATCTTGAGGGGTCTTGTGTRCCTMTTTACTTCTATATATTCATGTTCTTGGTGGTTTAGTTTGTTTGGGGTGTTTTTTAACAAGGTTAAATTACATTTTTAATACTGGAAGCTTTTTTGCAAAAATATARGGAGGCAAAAGAAAAGTGTGTGGTGATTTATAATTGTCTTTGACCATAAAGTTGCTAATTGTCTTCTAAGATTCTAAATAGCTGGCTGTTGGTGGTTTGTTTCCCGGTGTGCTAAATATTTAATTTTTTATTCCTTCTAGCAAATGAGACGGAATTAGCATTCTTCTGTGAGGAAGATTACAGAAACTACAGAGCTAATCCTGTTTCGGCCTGGTAAAGATCCCAAGAGATTGTTTTGTTTTCCCATACCTGTTGTAAATTTTCCTTATTCTGCTTAATGAGATTTTTCTTAAAGATCAATAAATCCTAGAGGATTTCTTTGCAAACAGTGCAATTCCCTTCCTACAGAAATTAATTTCTGTCAATATGCTAMGGCTGAGAGAAGGAAATCTGGGGGACATAAATGACTTTTTTCTTCCTGCCTTGTCTTTTTGCTGTGCTTGGCTCTTGTGCCTCAGGCAGTGCCATCCCTGACCTGTGARCACAAGTTCTTGATGTGATCCCACAGCAGACAGTGGCTGCATATTGAGATTATGTAATGCACAGGAACATGCCATCACAGAACTAACTTCTAATGAAAATGAAGTGAAACCTTCTTCAAATGAAATGTTTTATGACCAAATCACTGGGTATTTTAAAGAACTTGAGAAGAGAATATCTTTGTTTTGAGTCATAGCTTTGCTTCTCTCATTTTATGTTTGGTCTCTTTTGTTTAAATAGTGCAGACAGGCCAKTGTTTCATGCTTTTCAGTGGTGAATGCTTTCCATTATCCACTCTTTCAGCCCTCTTTAGCATGCTGGAAGGGACAAATGTCTCTTGGCAGGCTTTTGTGTCCAAGGACCAGCTCTCCTGTTTGTAGCTTTACTTGATGGGGACACCTTCCCAAAGGGATAGGAACAGTGTTCTGCCAGGACACCAGTGTGCCTAAGTAGGATCTGGGCRTTTTCCCAAATGGAGTGAAAGCTCATGGTTTCAGTTTTGAGAATAAAACCTGAATGATTGCATTTTTTGTGAGGAGAGGCCCAGTCTGTGAGCCACATGTCTTCAAGACCTGGAATTGATTCCTTTATGCTTTCCATGAGCCAAATGCTCTGGTGCTGTGTGTTTGTTCTTGGTAATTCCAGACTTTCCTACTACATGAACCCAATTAAGAATAATAGAAAGTAATCATGCATCCAGTGAGGTACCTTTAGATAGATACCACTTATGAAATGCTTTTTAGGGGGTGCCAACATGGGACACTGTGCCTTTAAGCCTCTCTCCATTGAAATAGGAATGATGCTGGCTCTCTGCCTTAGCAGGTCTTTTGGGCATAGGCTCTGCTAAATTGAAAACCTCATGTGAAATTGTTTTAGACCTACACATCTACTCTCAGCTCTGGGAGAGAGCTGACAATGCTGTTTCCATAAACTTTCTGGAGGAGTAACCCTACCATTTCCTCGAGCTTTGATTATTGTTTTTATTGACATGTGGTACTGAAAGCAGATGTGTGATTTCCAAAGTATCTAAAAAAAATTWCCCTTTATTTTAGATGTAGGGCCAAAGACCCCTCTTTATATTGTTCCCACCTCATTTTCCTCATCCTGCCTGACCTCACCAACAGCTTTGCTTCAGGGCTTTATTCTCTTGTGAAAAAACTCCACCGCATTCTCAACTGTGATTAAATGATGGTGTCTTTATCTTGTAAGGAGTCCTGTGTCACTGAAGTCACCTGTGTTCTCCTGGGATGCAGATGCTGTTATGCATGCCCTGATGAATTTAAAAGGAGAATTTACCTCTTGCCGTCCCTTTCTGCCCAGGCAGCCTCTGTTGCTGGCATCTGCTCCCCAAACATGGTCTCAGCTRCCTTACACAGTCTGTCATGTTTGCAGATTAACGTGGTTAATACAAGTTTGTGCTCATCTTCTTAGACAGTTCAAGCTGAAGCATTGCACTCCAGACTACCCCAGCTTTGTTCAGCCAAATTTACCATCATGAAGGAAACTTTGTAAGAATAGATGTTGTACCATAGAGATCAGGGTCTCAGGCTGGCCTGCCAAGGCATCTAAATGGTGTTTGTCAGCACATGAAGCCTCTCAGACTGAGCAACCATTCTTTTCCTTCTGTTCTGGGAATTTGAATTTGGTCTCCAGCCCTTTCAGACAGATTTGGATTAGTTTTGTGATCCCTTTTCTCTAAAGCATTTGTGTTTGAAAGAGTCACCACATTTTAACAATTGTCCTTTCCGGGCTTGTGCAGTTCCAAACTTGCAGTGTCACATCAAGTGTGGTACAGTGGAAGAGCAATTCTACAGCATCAGTGAGAAAAAACCTAAATATTCAAGAATGATGTGCCTGGCACTCCAGATTAACTTCTCTTTCCAAGGGAAGAGTTAAACTTCTGCTTTGTGAGCTCAGTTTGCTCTGGCAATGGCACTTCTTTCTTCAGCAGCACAGTAGAGCCTTTTGTAATGCTCTCAATGGCCATACTTGTAAACTGGTTTCTTCCTGAAGTATTTTTCTGCTGTGGGTTTGTTTTTAATTTTTTTAAATGGGACTTYTAGTAATGGTTCTTTCAAGTAAACCCCACAAAACCACAGATAATAACTGAAAACTTGTTAGGAAAGATGATGTTCAAACATTTTTTTTTTGTGGGATATGGCACAGCCTTGTATCAAAGTAGATTTGATTCTGGGATTGCTGAGTACTGAACGAAATCTCTGAAGACTGGCTAATAAATTAGTAAAGACTGAGATGTCTTTGCCCATGTTATTATTAAATCCTTTTTCTGGATCAGAGTTAGTACTGTGGTTTGTTATTCTGGCAGAAATCATGAACTGCATGGGTTTACAGTTGCTTTTAATCAAAAGTTTAGTGRGGTAGGTCTCACAGCTTTGCCAGTGTTCTTAGGCATTGTGGGGTTAATAAGGATTCATGTTACAGTGTGATGTTCTTGGAACTATTCACCATTCTTTTTRTTAAACAAAAGAGCAATATCCAGAGAGGACACTGAAATGAGATAAAATTTATCCTGGGTTATAACATTGTAGCAGGGTAAGGCAATCAGACGGGMCCCTGGGGTGGTGTGTCGGGTTTGGCTGTTTCTTGGAGAAAAAAAACCACTTCAGAAAGACTGGAGTTTTGATTAGGAGGTGTGAAAGAGTAGCTACTAAAGAAAAAGAGAGGAGATTTGGAAAGGAATTRTCATAAATAGGAAGAAGTGGTAACAGTGTAACTGAATAAACAGCAAAATCTGCATGTGCAGTATTCTTGGTGTGGAGATACCAGAGTGGTGCTGCTTTTTGTGGAACTAAAGGTATAAAAATGATGCTTTTCATATTTTTTGAAATGGAATTAATTAACCACTCAAATAAAAATCTCWCTTTTTCTGGCTTTGTCACATTATACTTTCTGCATCCGACAATTTTAATTATTTTTCTGCCCAAAGGTAGGGATGTTGCCTCTTGAAGAGGCAAGAGTTAAGAAAAATGGGCTGACATGGATAGCTGAGTTAAATATTGACCAGTGACACAAAGGAGTCCTCAAAGGTCTGATAAGCACTTTACAGTTTTCTGCTTTATCTGATGTAAACATTCTGTCTTAAAGGTGATCCAGAAATATGTTGTGAGCTGTGGTGTTTCTCTTTCAAGTCTCTGGGAGTATTTAACGTCCTCTGACTGATCATTTATTTAGAAATGAGCTTGTGAGGAGCAGTCCAAGAATTCCCACAGCCAYGATGGGACATTCCTGTCCTCGGAAGTTAATAGCCACAGAAATCCTGGTGTCCTAAGATCAAGAAACTAAAACCAGAACATGTAATACTCATTCTTGGTTTCCTGTGGCTGATAGGATGTCGGATACAGAGCAGGGCAGATGACTGGAGGCACTACAAGTGCCTAAGGCAAGTGCACTCTTTTGGTTATTGAGCAGTTTGGAAGGAGCTTCCTGGCTGGCACCTGACCTCCTTCCATGGCTTCCTTTCCATAGTACTACTTGGCACAGATTTGCAAGGGATTAATGAGCCAAGAACCACCCAGCAGACAACTTAAGCTGCTTTTCATTTTATCAGGATATTGACTTTTCTCTGCTTCCCATTTCCTATTGAGTCAGAGAAACAGCCACAGCTTCTAGTGTTTCCCCATCCCCTTTCCTCTGCTTCTTGCTGCCCCTTTGCTGATTTGGAGTGCTTTAATGGTTAGGTTTGCACCTCATCTGATAGGCAATAGCTGCATTTCCTGTGGCAGTGCATGTACATTTTCTAAAATCTATTCATGAAAAAATATGCTTTGTAATAGAGACCTTTTCTATGCTGTCACTAATAGTGCACAACAAAGGCTCCTTTCTTGCTTTGCAGGGAGATTGGACAGCACTGTCCAYCCGGTCAGTGAAAACAAAAATGTTTTTGTCCTAATGCTTTGTGTCTTGCAAGAAAATGAAGAAGTTACATCAGGAATGCATAAAAAAAAAGGAAAAAAAAAAAGCCAGTGAAAAGCCAAGACCTATTGCCATGAACTCTGCCTGCAGAGAAAGCCACCAGATGTCAGCACAGCCTGTTCTTTGCTTCTCCAGAATCTGTAAGCCAAGAGATGTGTCATGTTTATGAAAAGTGCTTATCTGTGAATTGGTATAGCCTGCGAAGTCTGTGCCAGGGTTCTGGTGATGAAAGCTGAAGCTTTCCTTGCAGAAAGTATTTATTTTTATATTAAAATCAAAGAGCGGCAAATTGAACTGGTTTCAGTGCTTAAATTCCTCCTGTTAGAGAGCATCCTTTGTGGAGCCAGTTCCCAGCGTATCTAAATCTTTGCATGCTGTGAGGGGGCATTTGCAGAACATTCATTTGAAGAATTGCCTGGAAAAGATCAGTGTTAATTTGCTGAGGTTTTGTAAAGTGGATTTTAAATATGYCTGTTTCTTTTAAACACAAGGAAAACCATCTGGAACAGACACACATGCAAAGCAGAGCAAAACATCTTCAGCAACACAGCTTAAACACACAACAAATGTATCTTCCATGCTTCTGACCCTAAGCTCCTGCTATTTCTTCCTTGTAGTACAAGGGCTGAGGAGAACCTGGTGCTGCATTCTCAGGGCTGTGCTTGMTGAGCTGAGGTGGGATGTGACTTTCAGAGCCCAAATCCAAGCACTGTGCACAGCTTTATGCTGTCAGTGACTGAAGCATGCATAGATGCTGACTGGTTAAAAGGCTAAATTTGAATTTTTGCACAGGGACAAGGTGTGACAGAGCTTTCTGCTCAGATTCCTCTCACTTTTCTTGCAGCAGCTTGCAGATGCCAGGAGGTATCAAAAAGAGGGAAGTGGAAGTAGCAGGTAGAGCCTGGGTGATGTAAATATTCCTTCCTCCTATTTTGGGCTGCTTTTTAGTTCCTTTTTTCTTGCCTCATCACACTGGTGTCATGTTGGGGGTTTGCCACAGCTTGCTGTGTATGAGAACTGCTTATCATTCCAAACTACCCCTGCAACCCTTAAACACCATTCACACTCTGGGGGTGATGCAGGAGAAATTGCAGCTGTGCAGTCTCGTGCTGTGTGCAGGGAAAGCCTGGTGTGCATGGTGCAGCCAGCATGATGTGAAGGTTGTTTGGGAGGTGTTATTTGTGTTTCTGTCCCTTCTGCACAGCATCCTGCTCTGCTGGGGACCAGGACATTATCTGGAAGCTTGGCATGCATGGCAGAGATGAAAGAAGAGGTGGGTGTTTGGGMTGGTGATGCAGCCCAGGGGAGAGGGCACAGAGCTTTCATGTCCCTGTAGATGKGGTATTTTTGATCAGATATGGATTGTAACTTTTGTTTGCATCCTGTAACTGTGATAGCAATAGATTCATTCCTWGGCCAGATGAGTGGGAGTTTCACTTGGTAGTGAATACTTTAATGGGATCAGTGTGACAGATTAWTATAAGAATTTATCTTTGTATGCCCATTCCTGCTCTGGCAGGTAAGTTACAGTGTTGTATACTAGTAATGTCAGCAAATACTGTAAGAACTGCTACTGTCTGCTCTCATTCCACATCTGGGAAGGTTTCATTCTGCTTTCCAACTTATAGCCCATGGAACATACTCTTTAATAACAGTTTGGGGAAGCCCCTTTTCTTCAGTGAACTGGGATTTTTACAGTGGAAGGCATGGTGTTGGTCTGTTTCCAACACTACTTTGAGGTCACACCTTTGCCTCTATGTTTGTATTTGGGTGTCGGTCTCTTCAAGTTACCAGCAACAGGACAAGAAGAAATATCCTCAAGTTGTGCCAGAGGAGGTTTAGATTGGATRYTTGGAAAGATTTATTCACCAAAAGGGTTGTGARGCTTTGGTACAGGCTGCCCTSGGAAGTGYTGGAGTGGCCAATCCCTTGATTGGGCTTGGCAGTGCTGGGGTAACAGTTGGACTCRATGATCTTAAARGTCTTTTTCAACCTAAACAATTCTRTKAWTGTGTCYATCCARCTGGAAGGCATCAGCTGTCTTTAGAGCAAAGGCAGCAATGCAGCCATGGTAGCTTTATACCCCAGCAGTTACTATCATGGAAATTTCTTCACAGCTACTCCCCTGCCCCATCCMTCCCAAATCAAAACCAACTGGTTTTGCAGAACACAGACTTGAATCTTGCACAGCARCTTTGTTTTCTGGAGTGCTGAAGGAGACAGCTACTTGAAAGCAGACATGTAGCTGCAGACAGCTCTTGGAGGCAGCAGGCTGGCATGCAGCAGCTGAAGGWAGCTAATTGCAGATCAGATATGGGAAACAAATAACAGAGTAACTAACCAGCTGAACAACAGCTGTAGTGCATCCTCCAGTGCTGAGATTTCTAAATCTAAAGCAGATTATCTTTCTAGGAGGATGCACTCGTGCCACTTGAAGTCTTTGAAAGGTTTCAGTGATACTATGGCTTGTGATATGTGATCCTCYTGACTGGCCCCAGACAATGCTTATTTTTAGTCTTTGATTATGAACGTCCTGTACATGYTCTGCTAACAAGAACTGTCCCTAATCATAGATGGTATCTGTGTGTTCTATGCCCAGCTTTAAAATCTGTGTGGTTCTCACCGATGCTAAAAAAAAAACCTCATGCAGAAATTCTGCAAAACTGATGCTGCTTATTAAGGCACAATAAACAGATAAAAAAAACTGTCCTGGTGTAACAAATCTCATTCCTCAAACCCAAGGCACAGTCTGCAAATCCCACTAGCTCYGTGTGTGAAATGTAAGAGCTCAAGAATAACACCAGGTTTTGTTGCTGATTGTAGCTGTGCTGGCCATTTTKGAGAGACTGGAGGAAATATATTGCACAGAGATGCTGAAGCAAGTGCATCCCCCTAAAGGTTTGATRCATCACTTTGTAAGTAAATCCCTGAAGAGCAAGAAACCAATTGCACTGTTTAAAGCCTTGTATTATAAAACTGAAGGAGTAAGAGAACTGTACCTGCAGAGGTTAATCTTCAGCTCAGGAATTTAAATGAACTCATTAAAATCAACTTACAAATTAGCTCATTAAAATGCAAYGCTGCAGATCCAGAAGTTGGTTGATCTGGCATGCCACTTGTATGAAAAAGTGACTTAAGAAGCATAGAACAAATTTATAGCATTAAAACTCCATCTTTCCTTGCAGTCCCCCATCTGGAACTCCTTCTTTCTTCAACTCTGTACCAACAGCACTTTTTATTTAGTGAATTAAGCTTGTTTGATCCTGTGCTATGAGTGCTGTGTAATATCAGTAGCCCCCTGTAGTGAAATATATCTGTACACACTTGCCCTGGCACTATGGGTCACAGCAATGATCATTTTATTGCCTTGATAATGAGATTCTACAAGGTGCTGGCTGTAGTGGCTTTTATTTCTTAGTGGTTAAATTCTARGTAATCACACTAGTCTACTACTGACATTAAAGTAATGGTTTTGTTTAGGGGGAGGCGGGAAAAAAGACTCAAACAAATTCAGATATAATTATGTAGATTTGTTCAGAATATCTTTATATAACTACAGAGGTCAGTGATTAAAACTGGCCTTACTCTTACAGCTTTTCATTTGGTTCTTACATATTCCAGAGGCACATAGTAGGCAGTACAGAAAATAAAAATACAAAGATTTTACATTCCAGCTATATAYTCTGCAATAAGATATAGATATATGTGTGTGTGTACATATATACAGAGAAAAACTTCAAGTACAAAACCAGTTAAATGGTAAATTTTAAGCCAGTCTCACTGAATGTCCTATGCACATCAAAAAAAGGCTTAGGGAAAAGATAACTGAAAAACTCCTTAGTCTCATTTTCAGCGTTCCAGAATCAGAAGATTCTGTTGTGTTTTAAGGACCAGATGCACACAGAGGGCATCATGTGAAATGCTGTTCTGTATTTAAAGGAATCAGTTTTGGTCTTCATGAGGGATGGTGGCTGGCTGGCCAGTCTGTTGGCACAGGCACTACCTGGAAACATCTCAYCAGCTTTTTTTAGATGCTCTAGAGCTGCAGTAGCTGTGGGGATTTTGAGCTGGCTTGTCTGTCCCTTTGGGCTCCTGCCCATCTGAAAAGCACCACRCTGACTCACTGACTCCCCTTCTGCTCATGGAAACTGTCCCTTTGCCATGGGAAAGGGTTTGTAGGCATGGAAGTCATGTAAACAAAAGGCTGCAAACCTTCTGCTGGGCAGAAAGGTGAMTCTTTAACCTTGCAGCAGCTCAGAATAAAACCACACCTTTCCCCTTGAAGACAAAGCCTGCAAGCCTGTGTAATATTCTTTCCCTGCCTCATAATATTTTTGTCTGCCAGGCAGTAGTTTTGCCTGACTKAAAGATGTGATAAGAAACTTAGATGGCAAAAAAAAAGGCATTGCAACACACTATTTTAAATGTAAAGTGTGTAAGCTAGTGCTTTTACGTTGTCTTTGTTTGATGATGAAATGGAAAAGTTGACTGAAAAGCCAGGCTTGCTGAATCCAGCTCTCCCTCAAGGATGAGTTAAACTGGAGTGGGTGGAATCATAYTGAGGTGAAACTGTCTCAAAACCATGTGGAAACTTAACCTATCCCCTAAGCAGAATTAAAKAGTGTTAGATCATCAGTCTGCTTGGAGAGTGATTTGGTCAGGTGCTACTGTGGGCTAAGTTCTGGAGGTAGATGGGGAAACCTAATAAACTCAGCTTGCTGAGGGGG